TTGCAGGCATGGACAATGGCAGAGAGTCCAACATCCTATTGTCAAGACATAGTGAACACTTTTATTGGGAATCCATCTTTGATCTGGAAGTAGAGGTGCATTCTGTATTATATCCTCATTCTGGATATAATAGTCTCCATTACAGTTACTATACATCCCCTTAAAAATGAAAAGCCACAATACAAAATCAACAACAAAAAGCAAAACAGAAATTCACAGTGTCATGAAGTTAAATAACATGCTACTGAATGATTAAATATATCTCTGAAGAAATGAAAAACAAAATCAAGAAACTTCTTGAAGAAAATGATGCTATTGTGTGATCTGTGAGTCAGTGAAGAATTTAATGACAAAGAGTTCTGAAGAGATGAAACTAAAAAAAGTAAAATAAAAATCCATGAGATATAGTTTCCACTGATCTTTGTTGGTGAAATGTGTCTCCTGTAGGCAATAAATACATAAATTTTTTTAATCCAGTCTAATAACCTATGATGTTTGATTGATGAGTTTATGCCATTTATACTCAGTGTTGATATGTATGTAATTTGGTCCTGTCATTTTGGCAATGGGTTGATCATTGGTTTAGTCTTCTGTTGTTATTTTACTGGGATGTTCTTCACATTTGCCTTTGGTTTTGGTAAGTGCTATTCCTCTTCTCTCTCAAGAGAACATCTTGAAGTATCATTTGTAGGGCAGGTTTGGAAAAAGCATATTCCTTTAATTTTCTTGACTGGGGAAGAATTTTACTTCATTTTCAAAGACAAAGGAAAGCTTTGCTGGGTATGTTAACCTCGGCTGACAATTTTTTGCTTTTAGAATATGGAATATGTCACTCCATTCTCTTCTGGCTTATAGAGTCTCCCGTGAGAGGTCTCCTGTGAATTGAACTGGCATTCCTTTATATAGCAATTGATTTTTTTTTTTTCATGTGCACATTTAAGGGTCTTTTCCTTATGTTCTGTTGATGAGAGTTTGATTACCATGTGTCTTTGTGAAGATCACTTTTGGTCAACCCTGTTGGGAGTTCTGTGTCCTCCTGATTGTTGTTTCCCAAATCTTTCTCCAGAGTAGGGAAATTTTCCCTTAATATTTCATTGAATAAAACTTTAATCCCAGGTTCTCTTTCTGCACCTTCTGGGATCCCATAACTCTTACCTTTGGCCTCTTAATAGTGTCTTTCAGGGATCTGGATTTAATTTGATCTGTAACACTACAACAAGGTGGAGGAATCCACCATCTGGGGAGGGCACGGGGAGGGGTTGGGGGAATCCCAGAGCCTATGTAACTGTGTCACAAAATGCAACATAACCAATAAAAAAAAATAGTGTCTTTCAGTTCCTGAAATTTTTTTTTTTAGCTTGACCTAGCTCTGCTTCCAATTTTTTGTTTGTTTCCCCCTGATAACAGGAAATATCTTCCAATTTTGAGATTCTTTCTTCTGCCTCCTTCATTCTATTTTGGAGATTCTCCACTGTATCTTTAATTTGCTCCACTGTATTCCTCATTTCTGATATATCAGCTTTCACTTAATTCATTTCTTGTGTGACATATTCCTTACATTCCTTGCATTCCTTGAACATCTGCTTTACATGCTTCTTGTTGTTGATAAGAAGGTATATAACAGGTGTTTTGAATTCGTATCCCCCATTTTCTCAATGGATTCCTCAGTGAACTCTGAGCTTGGCAAAAGTTGTTGCTCCTTTGCAGTGGAGTCTTCAGTAACATTTATATGCCTCTGTCTCTTCTTTTGCTCTTCATCATTGTACTTCTGGTTAGCAGATTGTTCTCCTTGGGGCAGGTTTCTAAGTTCTGTCATCCACAGATCTACAATTCAACTTTACTTATTGCGGTTGGCACATAGCTCATTGTTTGCAGTCACTTGTGCCACTCCCTCCAGCAAGTTTCAGGTCTTGGTTCTTTTGTTAGACTTCCACCATGATCTCCGTAGCCCCAGTTCCTGGTTCACCATTCTCCACCTCCTGTGATGCTGTGCAGAAGCTGCACCATTGTCTGTACAACCTTTCTCCCACTTCCTGTTAGAGCAGTTCCCAGGATTAGGGAGACACCAAGTGTCCTAAATAGCTAGACTGTTGGTGGTGCTAATCTTGCAGGAACCTGTTGGACGTTAGGTCTGAGGGCCACATGGACCTATTTTGACTTGTACAAGGCCAAAGTTGGTATTATTTTCCCTGTGGGACCAGTGCAATGCACTGAGCTCAGTGCATGTGCAGCTTACTATTGCCCCTGCAGTTTTAAAACTTTTCCACACCATACAAAATGGCACCTGAATGTGCCACTGCTAGGCTTCTTGATCTGCTGGCTGTCAGGTTTGAGGGCTACCTGAACTTATCTTGGGTGAAACCTATAGAATGTCACATTGTTGCAGTTCACTGAACCAGAAATGAGTTCACTTCCCAGCTCAGCGCATGTGCAGTCTTGTCCCATAGTCTTTGCCTCCCTAAACAAAATGGTCCCCAATTTGGCTCCAGGAGGCCTACTGGGCTTTGAAATCCACTCTGTTCCCGCACTGTCCATCTGGGACCTGCCACTCTGTGTCTGCTCCTGGTCAAATGAAACAGACCAGCAGGACTGTTGGATGAGTTCAGTGGAAGCAGCATCCAATGACAGGGAACAGGCATTTGTTGGACTGACTTCACCTGTCACTCAAGCGTTCCATCAAGTGCGTACAAGTTGCACATAGGAATCCCATAAACATTTCTAACAGAGTCACCCCCCCCACACCCCACGTGAAACCAATCTCATTTTTATGGCCAGCTTTTTGTTTTGTTTTGTTTGTTTTTAAGATTTATTTCTTTTAATTGGAATGGCGGATTAGATTCACAGAGAGACAGAGAGGAAGATCTTCCATCTGCTGGTTCATTCCCCAAGTTTCCACAATGGCCAGAGCTAAATTGATCCAAAGTCAGGAGCCCGGAGCCTCTTCCGGGTCTCCTACACAGGTGGTGTAGCCATTTGGGGAATGAACCAGTGAATGGAAGATCATTCTGTCTTTCCTTCTCTCTGTAAACCTGCCTCTCCAATAAAGATAAATGTGTTTGAATAAATGAAGAAGGAGGAGGAGGAAGGAGAGGAGGAGGAGGAGGTATTGGGCATAACAATTAAGACAACCCTGAGGAGACCTATGTCTCTTGTCAAAGTAACTGGACCCAACACTCGGCTGTGACTCCTGGGTCATGCCTCCTGCTGATGTAGACCTCGGGAGGCAGTGGTGTGACCCAAGCAGATGGGTCCCGCCACCCACATGGACCTGCTCCTGGCTCCCAGGATTAGCTCCTGCCCAGCCTTAATCCACAAACATTTGGGGGAGTGACTCAGTGGAAGGGATCTTTCTCTTTATCTCAAATTTATACTCTCTCTGCCTGTCCCTGTCTCCTGTTCCCCTCTCCATCTCAAATGAATACATAAAAATGTTTTAAATAACATTTTAGGGGTGGGGGACCCTGTAGGACCCTGGACGGGCAGGCACCCCAGGCCGCCAGTGGCACCAAGGGAACCGCCCAGGGGCACACTTGTGCAGACTTGTTGTGTGGGCTTGCAGGGGTCTGGCGATGGCACAGGTGGGCGCGTGCGGGGGCCTGGGGTCTCTTGTCCAGGATTGGTGGTCTGACCGTCCAGTTCATGTGTCAGAGCTGGCCCTTGTCAGTGGAAAAGACGGTGCAGTGGGCAGCTGGCCTAGATGATCTGGCAGCCCAGTGGGGCCTGCAGAGGACATCTGGTATCATAGCAGAGGAAGAACAGAACAAATTGGGCAACTACCCCAGCCATAGGATGACAGCAAATATCTGGGCAAATGGAGAGACTCTAAGTTCAACCCTATCAGGCAATGGATATTGGAAGGGTTTCTTCATTCTTGAATTGGCGAGATCAACAGCATTTCAGAACTAGAGAAACTACTTGAGCAGAACCCTCTGAGCATGCGCCATATCGGGGACCGTGGGTTGATACTGGTGGCTGCTCGCCATCCTCAGGTGCTGGAGTGGTTGGGATGCTGGGGATGGCTTCTCCTCTTATCTACTCCCTTCCCCCAGATATAGGAAGAAGAAATGGAAAATTTAGAAACAATGGTCACATCCACGTTCCCCTAATCCTCATTCCTTCCCACCCTGATCAACATGTAAACATCCTCAAAAATACATATAAAAATTAAAATTTAAAAAGAGTGAAATAAGTAGCTGAGTTGTGGTCTAGTCATACGGTGGAATACAGCACATCAGTGAAATAGAATTCTCTGCCATGCGCAAGAGGGACGACAATCAAAACAAGTTAATCCTTGTTTTTTCTCAAAACAGGCAAAAAAAAAAAAAAAATCACCTGACATACGTTAGAATACCAGCTGTCTTTGAAGAAATTCAACTTGGAGAAGGAGCACAGGAATCCACTGGAATTCTAGGAATGTTCTCTGTCTTGACCAGAGCAGTGAGTACAAGGGAATAGCTACATACGGATTGTCACTGATTGTACTGCGAATGTTTCACTCTGTCACATGACCAAGGGTTGACCCCAAGTTGCTATGCTTGAAGCCATCTGGGAGGTAGCAATAGGGGCCCCATACCCGTGGTTATAATCACCCTGGGCACTTGCAACATCCCGTCCTGTTCCCGAATCTTCAGCGAGAGCGGCACAGTGTCCCCACGTGTGACACTGAGGGGCACCCTCAGCCAGCAGGGAAGCTGGGTTAAACCTGAACTCCTCTCCCTACATGTGAGGGTAGCTAGGAATGTACAAGCAGGGCAGAGAAGACTCAAGGAAACAGAACTGAGCAATGAGCAACGGGGCCGCTGCATTTCAGATCACGCACCTGCACCTATCATGGAATGATAGCAAGGCGTTGAGGGTTTGGGAAGGTGGTTAAGCAGCCTCTTAAGGGAAGGCGAGGGGCGGGGCGCCGACAGGTGGGCGCGGAGCAGGCCGGCCCGGGGCGGCCCTTTGCCCGCCTGGGTGGCACCGCCCTCTGGGCGCTGAGAAGCGGGGACCGGAAAGCGACAGCCAGGAGCGTGATTCGGACCATGGCGACCCCCGGCGCGCTGCTGGTGATGGGTGTGAGCGGCTCAGGGAAGTAGGTCCAGACCGGTGCGGGCACGGGGGCGCCCGGGAGGAGGGGGCGTGCGCGGCGGAGCAAACGCTGCGCAAATCCAGGCCGCAGCCCTGCGGCAATGCGCCCGGGCGCCTGGCCTAGGACCCCATCCGCGACCCGGGCTCCGCTCCATAAGCGGGTGATCCTAATGCGGAAAAGCCTTGGCAACGCAAGAGGGGCGGAAGGTGGGAGCACGTAGACGATTGTGGCGCCAGCGTCGCCACCTGGAGCGCCTCCCGACTGGAAGGCCTGCGGGGCGCAGCCGCGCCCTAACCCGCACGACCCTTAGTCGGGCAGAGGTCCTGAGCAGAGTTTGGCTTGAATGGCAGGAGCCTATGTTGACGGGGAGGGGTCTCCTGAGGGCCTGGGAAGGAAGAAAAGGAAAGCACTCCGGCGCGACCGGGGTTCCTCTGGCTCCGTGGAGCCTGGGTCACGTGGGAGCCCGGGACCCAGTTGGTGGAGCCACCACCTGCTACTTTCCTGGGTTTGCAGAGACACCAAGCATGAGCTGAAACTGAACTCCCCGACTCTTAACGTGGGGCGTGGGCGTCTTACCCACCAGGCTAAATACTCTTGCAGAATCTCCTCGGTGAGGAAATGACATATGTGATGACGTAGATAGGTTTGGCTTTCCAAAGTTATTGTGGCTGCACACACACACATAGTCAAAGATAGGGAGTTTCTAACTGAAATTAGAAGGAGACAAAACCTCACCGTGTAACACTTGTAGGATTGGAGAGTGTGCACTTTCTGCCGTGAGATAGCGAAGTCCTAGGTGGTGGCTGTGCCTCCAAGGTTAGGGAGCCCAATGAGTTAACACGGGTGAGTTCTTTGTATTACAAAGCTTTTGTTAAATACCTGTAGGCACCCAGTGAGTTTTAATTGCCCTGCATAGCATTTGGGGAAATACTTGCCTTGGCCTAAATGGCTTAAAGGGAACACCAGTCTCAAAACAGAACGATTATTTGGAACAGTGTGAAAGCCAGGCAATGCCAAACAACAGGTTTGAAAATACAAAGCAAGCATCCGAATAAACTGATTACTGAGGAAAAATACTTCAGGGAGTTCAGGAGATTGGGTTTGTGGCCCTTGGAAAAATAAATGATGGGCAGTGGCCCGTTAGGTCTCTGTGTTGCAGAAGACAAAGCCAGGCTCTGGCCCCCAGGGTCAAGGGTATGCCTGCTTTAGAGCCCACAGACAGCACTGTCTCCTGGGCTTCCCGGCACCGTGAGCGAGGCAGTACTAACTGGAACCTGCGTGTCTTCCCCACAGGTCGACCGTGGGCGCCCTGCTGGCAGCCGAGGTAACCCGTTCTGATGACCGCTCCCTCAGGGTTGAATGTCCCACTGCGCTCTGGCCACACTGCTTCCCTGCCTGCCCTCTGGCCTGTGCTGGTTTGTCCCGGCACCACCCCACCCCCACCCCAGCATGGCCTTGAAATGCACTAGAGAGCTAGTTCCTTGGCCATTGCAAATGAACGTGAATGAGAAAGGAAGCTGCGGGGGCAGGAGGAGGCAGGGAAGAGGCGCATGCAGGGCCTCCCAGGCCAGTGGTGCTGTTGCTTCTCCACCTGCCTGGTAATGACCTTGACCTGTAGTAGCTGTCATGTTCCGCCACATTCTCCTTTCCTTCTTCAAGCTGGGGTGGAAATTCTATGACGCAGATGACTACCACCCAGAGGCAAATCGTCAGAAGATGGGAAAGGGGATACCGCTGAATGACCAGGTGAGCTTTACCTGCCTGCTGGGGCAGCGCCTCCTGCCCCTAGGCCTGCCATGGCACCATGCCTTGGGTTCTAAAGGGCAGAGGGCAGTCCCCAGGAGGGAGCGGCTTATGGAAGCTTGTCCTCTCCTCCCAGTCCCGTTGGCCTCCTGCCGGAAGCCACAGTGACCTCTGCAAACTCCCATCTGACCATTGCAGCCAACTCGGGAGCCCCTGGGCCCCTGCAGCGCCTCCTGCTGCTCCTCTCCTCCCCACTGGGCCTGCGTATCCACCTTTCACACTTTTGCCTCCAATGTGAGTGTGCTGCTTTCTCCCTCCCTCCCTCCAGAAAGCCTTACTCAAGCTGCTGACCCAGGCTCCATGCCACCTCCTCCGGGAAGCCCTCCCTGACTGGCTTCGTGTATATGTCACATGTACACCTGTTTTCCTTTCTCAGCTGCAGCCTGACAGCTGATGGTGTAAGGATTTCATTAGTATTTGTCTCAGCAGTTAGACTTTACCCCTCAAAAGAGCAGGGACTTTGGCTAACTGTTGCATCACCAGTACATACATCAGAGAATACCTGTGACAGTGTCTGTGAGTGAATGTATTGTCTGATCCACGGGGCCATCAGGCCACCTCCCAGGGTACGTGTCTTAGGCAAAGACAGGTGCGGGGGCAGGGGTGGGGGGAGGAAGAGGAGGGTGCTGCTCAGGGGGCGCTCTGCAGACCGAGGTCCTCCTGGGAAGTGGGAATGGTGGAAAGATCCGCGTCATACGGGGTGGTAGGAAGTAGGCACCAAAGTTCTCCGTAATTGTCCCAGGTGTTAATTGATAACAGGTGACTACTAACCCTTGGCCTTGGCCTGCCAGAAATTGCTGCCCATGCTATGAGCTTTGCTTTGGTTTTTATGTGTTCCGCTAGTTCAGCTGTGTTGGGGGAAAAAATCAAGTTAAAACTGCACGTCTTGGTGTCATTCAGGCTGTTTTCCAGTGGCTGAACTGCAGAGTTGTGATCTGAATTGTTTCCAATCAGCTGAAGGCAGCTAGGGCAGAGGAAGCACAGCAGGGAGGGGGCAGGGTCTGTGATCTCAGGAATTCCCTGTATCCCCTTGCCAAGCTCACATGCCAGTCCCTTCTTGGGCATGGAGATCTGTCACTACTCCACCATTCTTCGCTTTCTTTGCACCCTCCTGGGTGCCTGGCACTGTGCTGGGGTCTGGGGACAGCCATGGCCTGCTCTCCTAGAGCTTGCTTCTGGCTAGATGACAGCGGACAAGCAAGGACTTAATGCATCAGGGGGTGCTATGAAGTAGGGTGATGACATGGGGCGTAGGGTGGGGCTGGGGTACAGCGACCTTGGCGAGTGACCCAGGGGGCCTTGGGGTAGATGCTTGGGGACCCCCGCCTGGAGATCGGGGCCAGCATTTGGAGTTGTTAGCAGCGAGCATCCTGCCTCCCCAGGCTTTTTTGCCTGTTCCTGTTACTTTGATATTAATCATCTGCCAGGGCCAAGAGGGCTGTCTGACATCCGAGATCTCCAAAGACCAGAACAAAAAGCAGTCCATGTGTGACTTGGCTTCTGCTGCATCCTCCCCTCGCACAGACCTTGGGCTCGGCAAGGTTTTGGGGGCACGTGGGATCTTCACAGATCTGAACAGGGATGGGGGACGGAGGCATCAGTGTACTCAGGATGGGAACGAGCTGACACAAAGCTTGGATTTCTCTCCATATGTCAGAGGATTTGGAGTGCATGATGAGGTGGACAGGAAGCGGGGCAGGGGACAGGAGGACCAGCTTGTATCTGCTTGGACTTTCAGGCAGGTATGCCTGCTCTGTGGCCCTGGAGGGTCCCCACACACACGTCCCCGTGTTGAGGGCTGCTCTGTGGTCTGCTGAGGCCCTTCCCAGGTCTGAGCTCACAGCTGTGATTTCCCCATCTCACTAACATGGAACATTCGAGAGAAGCCTTCTACAGGTAGTTGATAGCCGGTTGTAAAGTCACTGATGGAGTTTTAGGAAAAATTGAGTTTGACTCCTAGCTTTGTTCCTATTAAATATGTGAGCATGGGTGAGCTGCTTCATCTTTTGAGTTCACTTTTCACTTACACAATGAGGACATTAGGCTAAATGATTTCTAAGTTGCCAGCTAGTTAGTCCTAGAGTTCTATATTTCTACACAATTATTTCATCATGCTGCTGTTGGGGAGCATGTCGAGCTTTCAAGTCCATTGCTGTTAGCTTCAGAAAAGATTATTTGACCTGCAATATGTCCAAATCCACTTTTATAAAAATAATCATTTTATAACAGTTTTATAAGTAGTAACTGTATAATTAGAACTTATTTTTTTCTACTTTTGCTTTATCTGCCAGCCTCTCTCTGTTTTTCTGGATTATAAGTGTAGTCTCCCTGCACTGCCAATCTGGAAAGTGCTGAAGCATTTCTTCACAGACCATAACCGTATGGTATAGTAGGCTAGGCTTCCACCTTTGGTGCCAACATCCCATGTCAGTTTGAGTTCTGGCTACTCCACTTCTGATCCAGCCCTCTGCTAATGTGCCGAAGAAAGCAACAGAGGTTGCTCAAGTCATTGGGCCTCAGCACCCATGTGGGAGACCCTGAAGAGCCTCCTGGCTTCAGACCGGCCCACGCCCAGCAACTGCAGCTATTTGGGGAGTAGACCAGCAGATGGAAGCTCTGTCTCTCCTTCCCTCTCTGTAACTCTTTTTCAAAAAGTGGATAGATCTTAAAAATGTACAAATATCACCATCATGAGGCTATGCATCCAAGGTGTGTATGAAGCATAGTTGGGGTTTTGTATTGAAACCTGGTCCCTACCTGCCATGCCAGCTGTCACCTCTGTAGCAGCCACGCAGGTGACTGCTGCTGCAGCTCTCCTTTGCCCCTGTGCACCTGCAGAGAGTCTAGGGTCCCAGGCCCAGCTTCAACCCAGGCTTCCCCCAGCTCTGGCATGGGACTTGATAGATTCGCCTTGAGTAACAGAAGTCAGGCGAACCCTCACTTCTGTTGGCTGGTTGCATGCACAGGATGTCAGGAGGGATGCAGATGAGGAAGTGTGAGCAGCAGACCCTCCCCAGCATCCCACCGCCATTTGGTACCAACTTCCCTGAACTTTCTTAAGTGCCTCATATTGCATATCAGCTCTTGCAAAGACCAAGAGTGGCTGAATTATGCTACTCATTTCATGAAACTAGCATGACCATGGTTGTTTTCCCCTTTCCAGCCACCTGAGGCCCTGCCACAGCCTACCCATTGGGTTCTCTGGACACGTGACACAATCACAAGTTGGGTGGGAACCCCAATAGCCCATCCCATCAGCATCCCCCACCCTGCCCCATGTAGGTATGGGCAGGACCTCTCTCATGTGACAAGGGTCTGTGGACATGTTTCTACAGCCTGCCTTGGTACAGGGGGTTATGAGCCAGGAATCATTAAAAACCAAAAATACCTGTCATGGTACCATACAACAGGGTTTGGAGAGGGGGTCAGGAAACTGCTCTAAGGGTCTAGGAGAACACCCCCTGCACTGGAGATCAGAGGTGTTTAAGGAAGGTAGGCAATGCAAGAAAAGCTTTGGGAGCCAGCAAGAGTCAGGGAAAATATAAAGTTGGGGAGAGTGAGATAAGTCGAGATGGCTATGAAAGGAGTCATTGAGACCCAAATGAACACATATCCACAATTAACTGCCCAACAAGAGGGCCCACATGGCTCAAACCACTACCGTCTGCCTGGCCCTTAACATTTGTGGACATGACACTGCCACATCCACGCACAAACTGCCCCTGGAAAAAGTCACTTGGTCTCTGCTTTAATTTCAGGACAGGATCCCGTGGCTGTGCACTTTGCATGACATTTTACTAAGGTAAGAGCTCTCTCGGCTGAAGCCAGGGAATAAGGGAAACCCATCAGAACGTGCAGGAAGGAAATGACATCCTTCAAACCACAACTGACTGGCAATCAGGGACTTCAGAGACAGAGTGCGCTTCTGCCAGTGACCTCCAGCAGCCACGGACAGCACGGAGCTCGCTCAGGCTCTGTCCATGAATTCTGGCAGGAACTCTCCACCTGCCATTGGGACTCCACAGCAGCTTCTTGCTTTTTAAAGTGGAAATGGCTACAGCTCCTGCTCATAGATCAGTAGGCAGAGTGCTAACACTTAGAACCATGCCTTATATACAATAAATGCTAAATATGGGCGAACATGCCATCCCTGTTACAGACGGGCTCAGCCATCACCTTCCCTCTCCTGAAGCTGTGCCACCCAGGAGGACCTGGTGTCCTTTTTAAGTCAACAAATACCTGGCCACCAGGATTACAGTTCCGCATTATCCAGTTTTATTGCCTGCTCTGAGCAAACACTTCTCCCCCTGTGGTGGGCCTGACCTCCCTGGAAATCTCAGTTAAGACATGGGAAGAATAAACAAAGATCAGAAAATGGGTTATAAATCTTGCTTTCTAAAATGAAGTCCTTTTTTCCTTAAAGATGTATTTACTTTAATGGCTCCAGAGTCCCTGTCTTCCACACTTTAGCCCCAGGATGGGGTTTCTGGCTTGGTGAGGCCCAGCCTTGCTTGTTGGGGCCATGTGGGGAGAGACTCAGTAGATGGAAGAGCTCTCTCTTCCCAGCAATCTTTCTGTAACTTGTTTTTTTTTTTTAAAAAGATTTTATTATTTGTTTATTGCAAAGTCAGATATACAGAATCGAGGAGGAGACAGGAAGATCTTCCGTCCACTGATTCACTCCCCAAGTGGCCGTAATAGCCAGAGCTGAGCTGATCCAAAGCTAGGAGCCAGGAGCTTCTTCCAGGTCTCCCATGTGGGTGCAGGGTCCCAAGGCTTTGGGCCGTCCTCGACTGCTTTTCCAGGCCACAAGCAGGGAGCTGGATGGGAAGCAGGGTTGCTGGAACACAAACCAGTGCCCATATGGGATGCCGGTACATGCAAGGCGAGGACTTTAGCCCCACGAATTCGGTGGGACAGACAAGGTCCTGAGGCTCAGAGTTCTATGCCTGTGCCCCAATGTGGTCAGCTCACTAGGGAAGGGGGTTCCATCTGTGCCCTGACTGCCTGATGCCTACCCACCACTTCCTAACGCCTTCCGCTGGTCAAGAGGTAGGACTGGAGTCCTCCACCTAGAACTGAAAGGGGTCATTTTAATGCTTGCTTTGACAGCACATATAGTAAAATGGAAATAACACGGGCCATTCTGAATAGCTTCATTCACTGGCTCTTCTCTGTTTTTCTATAGAGATGTAGCCTCCGGACAGCACGTGGTTCTAGCCTGTTCAGCCCTGAAGAAAATGTACAGAGACATCTTAAGAAGAGGAAAGGATGGCCTCCCTTGCACGAGTGAGGAGCTGGGGAAGGAGGAGAAGCAGGCAGGGGTGCAGCTTTTGGTGGTGCACCTGAGTGGGTCATTTGAGGTCATCTCTGGGCGCCTGCTCAGAAGGAAGGGCCACTTTATGCCCCCCGAGTTACTGCAGTCCCAGTTTGACACCCTCGAGCCCCCGTGTGCTCCAGAAAACTTCATCGAGATCAGCGTGGACAAGAGTCTCCCTGAGATCACAGCAACAGTCCTGGAAACTCTGAAAGGACCATGAAACCACTCCAGGCCCGGACCAGACGACAGCCGGCACCCACATCTGGCCCAGTCTCGTGTCGTCACCCTGTTCATACTGCACTCTCGGTTCTTCCTGGGAGGAACATTCCAAATGGTGTCCGGAAACCCTGCGGTGGGGTGTTGTCAGGGATTGGGGATCCACGTGACACAGGAGCAGAAAGAAAGGAATCAGGATTAACTTGAAGTTGAAAGTTAACAAACTCAGTCGTGTGATCAGAGGAAGCTTTGTAATCAGTATCCTCACTGGGTTCCAACCCGGGTGCCTTAATCTGCAGGAATAAAGGCAACTCGGCTGGAGCCTGGACACTGGCTCTACGGCGAGAAAGTGAAAAATTCGCCACTCATCAGCATGACCTCTCACAGCATGCCTTCTCATCCTCCGTCCTTGACCTGCGGTCCGCAGCAGTGGCTTGTAAGAGAAGATCCCAGTGGCAAGTAACCGAGAACAAACTTGAACTCGGCCATGAATACAAACATGCTTGCCAGCAGCAACAACAATTTTCTTGCCTTTTGGCTAAAATTATGTCAGCTCAGGGATGGACATTTGGCATAGCTATTGATTCACCTTTTTGGGCACCCACACCACATCATGCAGTGCCTGGTTCGAGTCCCAGTCACTCTGCTTCTGCCCCAGCAGGGACGGCTCGAGTTCATGAGTTTCTGGCACTCATGTAGGAGGCCCAGGTGCAGTCCCTGGCTCCTGGCTGTGGCAGTCACTGCGGGAATAATCCAGTGATTGAGAAATCTCTGCCTATCTATCAAATAAATAAGTAAATTTTTAAAATGAGGAAGGGGTGGGACTCACAGACACCATGGTAAGTTAATTTAAAAGATGTCTGATACCAAAAAATGAAAAACTATACATATGAGAGGTCTTCAAAAAGGTCAAGGAAAATGCATTTCTATTTAATTTTTGTTCATATAAAGAGAACCTGTTTCAAAGGCACAATTCCCAGCTAACCATGCCTCTCTCTCTTTGCCAAACCTTCTCTTTTCCTTTTTAATTCCTGTAAAAACAAGTCCATCCACTCCTTAATTACATGCTTGCTGAACCACTAACCACAAGATTCGACAAGTGGAGTTCAAACATGAGCTAAAAGCAACCAGATCATGAGCTGTCCATCCTGTTCCTGTACAGTCCTTGAGATTCCACATTAAGCTCTACATATCACAGAAAACACAATATTTATCCTTAGCACTGGCTTATTTGGTTAAGCATAATGTTTCCAGTTGCATTCACTGGTAGCAAAAGATAAGCTTTCATTCTCTGGAAAATTCACATACGATTAACAAATTGCAATGGATTTCAATATTTTTGCACCGAAGTAAACATTTTCTAATTCCATTTGCCCAAAAATGTTGTAAGGTGTCCTATTTGTATAATTTAAAGGTAAAAAAATGAACTGCTGTGGCATAGTGGGTCAAGCCACTATGTGTAGCACTAGCACTACACAGGGACAGTTGGAGTACTGGCTGCTCCATTTCCAATCCAGCTCCCTTCCAATGTGCCTGGGAAAACAACAAAGGATGACCCAGCTCCTTCGGCTCCTGAACCCACGTGGGAGACTCAGAAGAAGCTCCTGGCTCCTAGCTTTGGATTGGCCCAGCTCTGGCTATTATGGCCATTCGGGGCGAGCAGTAGCAGCCAGAAGATCCTCTTCTCTCACTTGGTGCCTTTCAAATAAATAACGTACAAATCTTTTTTAAAACGTGAGTTGCTACTTAAAAGGTAGGGCTTTGACATTAATATCTCAGGATAATGAAAAAGGTCGTTTTGGAAGAACAAAGATGGGAAATGATTCTTTCAAAGGAAATGCTACACCTTTTCAAGTGGGCAAGTGGTACAGGCAGTTCAGTTGCGGAGTTGCCCAGTCCGGAATGTCTGCCTCCGCAGTCAGCAGAGCTGGAGCCACGCCTCAGACCAGCACCATGGGGGGGTTGCTGGGGGGCGGGGGTCTGCTGGGAATACACAAGCATGTGACTTCAGGTGACTTCGGACTGAAGGCACAGCGCAGGCGTGCGATGCAGGTGCTGGACGAGCCCTCCCCACCCCTTACATTGCCCTGCCGTGTTAGGAAGACCGTGTTTTGTGCAAGTGTCTTCATTCCTCCTAGCCCTGGCTGCTTGGCCTTTCCCTGGATTCACTGATGTGGCCATGGGGGCCCAGGGCCTTGGGCCTCCTGTCTGTCACAGTGTCAGGGAAAACAAATGGAGGAAGGCAGTGGTTCTCAAGACAATCACCTGAGGACTTTAGACATATGTCTTCTCAGTGTGCTAAGCCGGCACTGGCAGCGAGGGAGTCAAGTCTCAGCGAACGAAGTGAGCATCTGGCACTGCAGTTAAGATGCCCCTTGGGATGCCCACTTCCCATATGAGGGGCACCTGACTCTGCTCATATGCGCACTGGGAGGCAGCGATGGTGTTGGTCCTTGAGACCCACAGGGGAGACACACTGGGTTCCTCGCGCCCAGCCACAGCTTGGCCCAGGTCTGGCTATTGGAGGAATTAGTGAAGTAAACCACTGGGTGAAAGAGCTCTGATTCCTTGCTCTTTCAAGAAAACAGATAAATATTAAGGCATAAATAAAGCCCATAGCCAACCCAGCAGAGCAGGCAGGTCGGTGCAGGATGGCGGGGCAAAGCAGATCCTGTTTGGATGCCTAGTTTGTGATGAGCCCCTCTGAGCCCCTTCCAGAGCAGTTAGACTTCTTAAGAATACTGGAGTACAGGGCTAGGCTGGATCGAGTCTGGCAAAGACTCACTGCACAGCTCACCAAAAGCCACAGATGACAGGCAGTCACCTGCAGGCTAACAAGGTGGCCAGCCAGGGACCCTTACCAAGTAAGAGTGGCTGATTTACTTAGTAGAGTTCATAGGTGGAAAAGATTCAAAAAAGGTTTGCGAGTTCCTTTTCTGAATAAGAACATTGGCTTACATGGCCCAGCACAGCAGAGCAAAGGGGAAGCTGGATCTGCCCATCCAGTCCTTCCAGAAGGAAAAAAGACTTAAAACAAACAAACAAAAGGTTGACATTTTTATTGGAAAGGCAAATATGCAGAGAGAGGGAGGAGGAGGAGGAGAGACAGAGAGGAAGCTCTTTTGTCTGCTGATTCACTCTCCAAGTAGCTGCAATGGCCAGAGCTGCACCAATCAGAAGCCAGGAACCTGGAGCATCTTCTGGGTTTCCCACACGAGTGCATGGTGCCAAGGCTTTGGGCCGTCCTAGACTGCTTTCCCAGGCCATGAGCAGGGAGCTGGATGGGAAGTGGAGCCACCAGGACACGAGCCAGCACCCATTTGGGAGCCTGCTGTGGCAAAGGCAAGGATCCCACTCAGCCGGTTACCGTGCTGGGCCCAAAAAAGACTTAATGGCTTAATAAAGAATCATTTGAACAAAGCCTGGCTGAAGCCAGGAGAAAGTGGATGAATACATACAGAAGAGAGGAAATGAGTCATTTCTCTTCCCAATGATCAACTGTCCACTGATAAGTGACATATAGTGCTGATACACACTACAACATGGATGAGACCCAGGGATCTGACACTAAGCAGCATGTTACACAATTCAACAACATGAAACGCCAGGAACAGGAATGAGAGTCAGGAAGTAGACCAGGGAAGGGGAAGGGAGACTGCTAGCTAATAGCTTGGGGGTTCCAGAACTAGTACTGATGTCTGCACAATGCTAGACATTCACTTTCTGCACTATAACTTAACAGCACAGATGAGTAACTGATAATCACAAATGTACTCAACTCCTGGTCCTGAGGCTTGGAAGGTTCGGGGTCAGCTGGGTGCATCTACTGATGGCTTCCCAAAGGTCTCACCTTCAAGTGGCAATCAACAGGTTGCTTCTGCCCTCGTAATTTTTCACAATAGGGCTGAAATTCAACATGGGTGTTGGTGGGAACAAATACTCAAATCACAGCACACCACGTGGTGAAATGTATTTATAAACCACTACAGAGTATGTTAAAATGGTCAGTTTTGTGGCATGTGAATTACTCCAGCAGATGCACCCCAGTGTGGGCAACAGGGCACAACCCCTAGCAGGTACCTGCTGTCATTCCATCTGGGGCATGTCTCAGAATGAAGCTGAGAGGCCAGCTCCACATCCTTCACAAACCCAAGCAAGATTCCGGTTTACAGCAAAATCTTTTTTTTTTTTTTTGAAGATTTATTTTTATTATTTTTTTATTGGAGAGGCGGATATACAGAGAGGAGAGACAGAGAGGAAGATCTTCCGTCCAATGATTCACTCCCCAAGTGAGCGCAACAGCCGATGCTATGCCGATCCAAAGCCAGGAGCCTTCCAGGTCTCCCACATGGGTGCAGGGTCCCAAAGCTTTGGGCCGTCCTCGACTGCTTTCCCGGGCCACAGGCAGGGAGCTGGAAGGGAAGCGGGGCTGCCGGGATTAGAACCGGTGCCCATATGGGATTCCAGGCGTGCAAGGCAAGGACCTTAACCACTGCACCATCGTGCCGGGCCTACAGCAAAATCTTCCTCTCCCACGTCACCTGCGGAGTGCAAAAGAGCTACTTCATCTTCGCTCAACCACCACTTTGGGGTGGGAACTCTTGTATGGCTAACCAGAAGACAAGGTCTCTCCGCAAGAGAACAGATCTTCAAATATCCTGCCAGACCTTACCTAAAGACCAAAGAACAGCTGACCCTTACAGGAGCAGAATGTATACTCTAATACATTTTCATATGTGTTAACTAATACACAACACAACTTTAAGGAATGCAAGAACCTCATCAATAAAATTATACTCCCTTTGAAGTTTACCAAACTACTTAGCATTTCACACGAGCACTGTATATCTGTATGCCACCAGCGCTCAGCCTGAGTGCACCTGCACCTCTTACAGTGGCTGGGATGGGTATGGCATCTAACTACCCCACTCCTCATCTGGCATGGTCATGTCCAAACAGTACTGCACTGAAACTCAAATATTAGCAATTCCTTCCCTAATATCAAAGAGATAAACATATGTATTATCTGCTTAGATTTTATTCCCAAGTAATTTCATTTAAAAATGTGAAAGGGGGCCCAGCGAGGTGGCCTAGTGGCTAAAGCCCTCATCCTGCATGTGTTGGGATCCCATATGGGCGCCGGTTCGTATCCCAGTGGGCCTGCTTTCCATCCAGCTCCCTGCTTGTGGCCTGGGAAAGCTGTTGGGATGGCCCAAAGCCTTGCAACAGTGTAGGAGACCTGAAAGAGGCTTCTGGTTCCTGACTTCAGATCAGCACAGCTCCTGCCATTGCAGCTACTTGGGGAGAGAATCAGCAGACAGAATATCTTCCTCTCTGTCTCTCCTCCTTTCTGCATATCTGATTTTCCAATAAAAACAAATCTAGGGCCCGGCGCGGTGGGCAAGTGGTTAAAGGTCCTCACCTTGCACGCCCGGGATCCCATATGGGCGCCGGTTCTAATCCCGGCAGCCCCGCTTCCCTTCCAGCTCCCTGCCTGTGGCCTGGGAAAGCAGTCGAGGACGGCCCAAAGCTTTGGGACCCTGCACCCGCGTGGGAGACCCGGAGGAAGCTCCTGGCTTCGGATCGGCATAGTATCGGCTGTTGCGCTCACTTGGGGAGTGAATCATTGGACGGAAGATCTTCCTCTCTGTCTCTCCTCTCTGTATATCCGCCTTTCCAATAAAAAAATAATAAAAATAAATCTTTAAAAAAAAAAAAACAAATCTAAGAACTGGCTGAGAACTGGCTCCTGTGCTCCTCTACTGTAAAAAGCAGTGTAAGCGGGCATGTTTTCCTGAAGCCATCTGCCTCCACTCAGGGGCATGACAAGGATAGCCAGGTGAAGGCATTTCAAGTCTTGGTCCCAGCACTTCGTACCTACTCAGCTTTCACAGCTTTGTGGGCCCAGGAGAGGATAACA